TGCTCTGGCTCAGGACCACACTGTCACCACTGCAAGCAGCTGAGGCAGAGCTGCAATCTGCTGCCTGCACACCCCTGCCCAAAGCATGCAGGTGACAGATTGTGGATCTGCCCAGGCCCTGGACCAAGCTGCCCCCACCACAAGATCCCAGCAGCTCTGAAGCAGCCCCCTTCCCTGCCCTGCTGCACACCTTGCTAGCGTGGCTGGGGCTGGTCTCCATGGCAACCCCAGTCTTGTGCTATCACAGGGCAGTGGCCGGGGTCTCTATGGAGACGGGCCCCAGTCATGTGGGCAGGGACTGCTGAGTCACAGGCTTGACTTTGCCCACCCCATCCTAGCTCCAGCTCTGATCAGTCATTCGGAGCAGGGGGGTTGGGAAGCAGGAGGCTGCCCGGGGGAAGGGACAGTTCTCCCACCTCTATTTCCTAGGCTGACTGGGAACAATTTAGTCCCAGTCAGCTGTCTATCTATGTGCTACCTGGTAGTAGAAAACCACACATTAACCTATTTTACTGTGCAGTAGCTGCTGAACACAGTTACATAGTGGTGTTTTACTGCACAGTAGGTTAATCTGCTGTGTAGCAATCTTGTACAGACATGCCCAGAACGGCTCATGTTTCTCATAGAAGGAAGTACCAGGAGATAAAGATATTAACTTTCATATATCGTAAATCTTTGAGTATTTGGAAATACCTAATGCATTAAACATAATGACAAAATCAAGTTATTGTAATAAGCAAGTTACTCTTGCTTCTTTTATCTGTCCTTCCCATGTATCCTCTAACACTATTGCAACAGCCAATCTTCTCATAAACACTGAGTTCTAGGAAAGAAGTGCTTTGTACTGTTTGAAAAGTAGGCTTCAGAGGAACAAGGTACATGTCATTGGTCTTATCTCTAACAGTTCCCAGGCATTATACTAGTTGGAACTGAAGTATTTCACAAAATAAGAATAGAAGTTCATGAGCAACTGGTACCTCCCAAGTTGGGGGGGGGGCACCCCCAGTGGCTGATTGCCAACTGGGGTAGGGGACAGTGTTGCTCCAGCAGCTGATTGCCAAGCCTGGAACCACCAGCAGCAAAACTGGCAAACGCTTCTGCCAGCACTTCTGGTTTCACGGCTGGCACTTTCAGCGGGTGCACAGCCAATCTCAGGGGGTGCACATGCACCTGCATGGACCCCTATGTGTTGCCAATGTAGAAGTGAATGATAAAGCATTTCAAAGAAGTTATGGAGGTTGACTGTCCTTTAAATTATAGTTTTGGTACAGTTTATGGTATTTTCACTATCTGGACAAAAAAATCCAGTCCACCTGACAGTTTTTTAAATACACACTGACATATGAAACAGGGTTATATTTTTACATTAATTTATCAAGCTAGACCTACAAAACTGCAGTTTTGAGAGAGCTGTTATAAATGCTATAATAAAGAAGACATGCAAAGCTCATCTCTTCGGTATTTCAACTTGTATGCTTATAGGGAATTGAATTACATGGGACATTTGGCTCTGATGGAGAGAAGCCAGGTACATATAAACTGATGCACTGCAAGAATGAACAAAAAATAATAGTCTTGTTTGAGCAGCAAAGGAGAAGTTCTAAGCAAGTCCCATTGCTCCCTCCTCCAAGGGCAACCAGCAAGAAACTTGTCAGGATTAGGCACATGGGAATTTTGGCTGATTTTTCCAGGATCACTTCATGTTCCAGTTCCTAATTATGCTAGGACAGCAACAGAACACCCCGCCCCCTCCTCTCCTCCAAGAGAACAGTTAGAAACAATGCTGAATGAATTGTCCCCGTCATCTCTGACTTACATTTATATGCACTGACAAGATGGTTCCTGGAATCAGTTCAGATGCTACCACTAATCTGCCCTGTTCTCCTCTTGTACCATTCCCTTCAAGCACATAGAACAGGGATCAGCAAGGATAATACTTGGCTATAAGGACCAAATACAGTCCTGCTGAAGTCATAAGATATTTTTCTATTGACTTCAATGGAATTTGGTTAGTGCAGGGGTGCTCAACCTCTAGCCGGTGGGCCAGCTCTAGTCTGCAGAACCCTGTCATCTGGCCTACAGCGTTCCAAATAGGTCCAGAAATTTGGTGAGAGAGAGCAGTAGCAGCATTAATTGCTGCTCCCCTGCTGCCAAATTTCCAGATTGAAGGGAACCCTGCAGGCTGGATAACATGGTCCTGTGGGGTGAAGCAGATCAGCACACAGCAAAATCAGGGCATACAGAGTCAGGTTGGTGCACAGTCAGATCTGAGATGTAGGGCTAGGCTGCCATGCAGGCTTGGTCCTGTATGCAGGATTGCTTCTGTGGTCCAAACCCCCAAAGGATCCAGCACACAGACTGACCCTCTGCCATTTATCCAGCCTGAAGGGCCCGAAGTTTGGGTGTCACTGGCCTAATGGAGTAGTTTACATAGGTTGACATGCATTCAACAAACTATTGTACTAAAGTTATGGAAGCAAGTTAGAATTGTACTCAAATGAAACTAAGTTAGGTCATACAGTCCTTCTTGTACCAATTCAGTTATGCTTATTCTCCCATAACTGAATTTCAAATATTTTGGAGGAATAGCAGAGCCAGTCTATGAAAGTCACAAAATTGCATCATCAATATGTAGCTGAGCATTCAAATGAAACTGAGCCAGTTTTTCTTTTGATGAGTATAGATACAGTGGGTACATCTACTTGAGAGGCTATGTTGCTGTAGCAACAAGCTATGGTGATGTAGCATTAGCAGGCATGGACTGTGATGCTGATGCTACTGCGCAGTAGGGTCAGAAATGCCCCTACTGCTGGACAGCAAGTATTAAATGACTGTGCAATCACAACTGTGCAGCTGGGGGCATGGAAATACTGAAAAAGCCTCAAATGTTGAGTTTTCTTAAATAAAACAATACCAAAGGGAGGGAAATCATAATTGTGTGCACAAGAAATGAATGAGCCAGCTCCAGTTTCTATTCCAACGAATATTTAATTAAAAAAAGTACTAAAATACTTGTTGTAGTGAGAAGTAGAACCAGACATCTCTGCTACCTGCTGAGTTTTCTACGCACTATGGTATAATAAAATCTTGTTTCCTCATTTTCCTCTATCTTCTTATTCTGGCCTAACGACTATTTTAATTTAGTGCTGCCACCCCAGCATATCCTTCTACCCATATAAGAGATACAGGTTCAAATCTCCTCAGGCAGAGTGGGGAATTGAATCTAAATGCTGTATCTCACATCCACTGAGCACTGGTTCCTCTTCATGCCATAGTTTGTGTAGGACCTGATTCAGTAGCCAAAAGGTTATTGCACAAGGAGTAATCAAGGTATGTTCTATACGACTCAATGTTCCTGCAATTAGAGAAACTGCTTATACTGGCATGGTGTGCACACACACCCATGTTATCATCATGCTGTGATTTACAGAAAGCACTCTGAAAACAAGACTATTTTCTTTCTCTGTACAGCTCTTTCTTTCTTAAATCTCTAATAAGTATCACCCTAAGGAAGAGTCATGGCATTTTTTAAAATGTAAAAATAAAATAAATGCTTTTGTGTCTGTAACAAGAAATGTTATAGCAAGCACAAAATGCAAAACACAATTTAAAACCAAACATATTTCTTCAACATGAAAACTTAAAGCAACATTTTTAAGACCTTCATGTTGGCAATTTAAGCATATTATTTCAGGGAAATGATGCTACCATTACTTTGCTAGTGTGAATTTCAGCTAGCATTTGTAATGTAATTCCTGTTGGGAACAGAGTTTTTGTAAACTGTAAAGTATTTCAAATACAGTAATGTCTATGTAAAACAGAGTAATGTAAAACTGTATTCTGTTAGTACATTTCTTTAAAATTCTCATTGAGTTAGATAATATTGCTGTAAAAATAATGTTTTCTATAAGCTTCCAATTAATTTTGACTTTCAGTACTTTTTGTCATCATATTAAACAGGATTCTTAAAAGAAGTCCAAAAAAGGTTAATTTCAATCATATTCCCAAGTGTTTCTTAACAATACATTGCATCATTTTCAATTACTACTGACTGCTGGTGTTCTAATAACCCTGTTTTATGTATGTCTATGTTATTTTTGTGATACATATTGAATAACTTTTTGTTATTATTTCAGGTTGACTTTAATACTATCCTGTCCAATGGATCTCAAAAATTTTCCAATGGATGTGCAAACTTGCATAATGCAGCTGGAAAGCTGTAAGTATGAAGTACTCTCCTATAAATATTAATATACAGATGACATCAGATGCTGAGATAGAAAGGACAGTGGTGTAGGGAATACTGGGGGGGTTTTGCAGAATAATACTTCATTAGTATTTTGTGCAATTATGGATTGTCCATACCATATCCAGTACTGTATAAATAAAAAATGGGGAAGGATAGTCAGATTTTGCCATCCTTATCTACATGCAGTAATTCCTTAATTCTGCAAGAACTCCCATTGAAATCAATGCGTCAGAAAAGTTATTAAGCTCCTAGGCAATGTAAGTAAGAATGGCAAATTCTATTCCATTATTTGCTGAGTGTAATTTATTTTCCAGAACAGAATAGTTCTCTAGTTCCATAGCTCAACATTTGCAACCAAGTGCTTCACAAATTCACCCTAATTTCAACATGCCTGTTTTTCAGTTTGATAGCACCTTTTTCTAGAACTCTGTTTGCTTTTTCCAAAAATAGATTGTCTATATATTGGCTTGATTTATTTACAAATATATTTGGATCAATGTAAATGGTAATAGACTATGCCTCTGTTGTCAAGCCATTTAGTGGGTGCATCTCCACTTGACTGTGGAGTTGACTAATTAGTTCTTCAGTACAGTAAATTAATTCTGCCATAAAATAGTACTGTTGGGGACATACTGTCTTACAGTGGAGTCCAAGAGCAGTTGACTCTGACTCAAACAGCTCTGGAGTCTATTGCGTTACCTTAAGTGAACATGTAGATGCACCCAGATGCACCCACTGAAGGTCAAACTGCTGCTTTGCAATACTCACACATAGGCAGGAAACATTATGATGTGTGTACATGTATGTGTGCATCTCAAGATGGGAATCAGGGGGAGATGTGCCCGTGTAAAGCAAAGAAAGGGACAGATCAGACTGAATAAACACCCTGAAATCCACAACAGTGTTGGGGTTCAAGAGAAAAAGTAAGTGGTCACTAATACCCCTTTAGGGTTTTATGGAAATCTTTATACATGCTTTGGGGCTGGGGAGGGCACTTTAATAAGAAGGGCTCCAAGAGCTTCTCTAATTAAAGCTCCCACAGTGACTTGTGTATTCAGTGTCCTGTGCTTCAAAATGGTGGCAGAGGCACTTTAACTAAAGCTTGGGAGGATTCCTACCTAGAGGAAAAGAGAGATTATATTCATTTTAGCCAGTCCTGATATACTCATTTCTTCTTTAGCCTGCCCATCCTCTTGGTCCATGCAACCCTCTGATCTGATAGATTCCCTCAATAGGAACTATGGCATAAGCAGCACATTGAGCTATCTGGGTATACAGGCAGAGGCACAAATATAGAAGTAACCATCCAGATTGGATCAAATGAGCATAATGTGACCCTTGATTAATACAAGTCAAATCTTCTATTGACAAAGGACTTACTAAAATTAACTGGATGGGCTCAGTGAACTCTGTACCACATATTATTGTTTGCTGGCAAAATGACTAAGGAAAAGGACTTAATGGTATTAGGATCTCCAACTGATAGTATTAAAAACATGTACGGAGAGTCAAGGTTTAACACAATCCAGTTTTTATGATGTTCTAATAATTGCAGAACCACAGTAGGAAAAGCAAGATGACAACTCCATCTCTATTTGAGTATACAGTTATATTAGACTGGAAAAAAAGACTTAAATCTTCAGATTAGAGAATTTTATCAAAGTACTTATGAGTTAAACTACACACACATACAAATAACACCACAAAATGACCATATTTACTTGCACACCACACATGCCTCCCCCCCCCCCAAAAAAAATAGCCCTCTAAAACTGGTATCATAAGTAGGGAAAGTAATTTTTCTTCACTGTAATAGAAACTAGAGGTACACCAATACATTGGTCCGATATTGGATTGGTAGCGATATAAAGAAGACTGGCTGTCAGATATTGGCCCAATGGGTGGAAGTGGGGTGTTGAGCCAGGGTTGCACCGGGCAGCTGGCTGCAGTGGTGCTGGGAGCAGAGTGGTGGTGAAATTTGGGGTAGATGCAGCATCCTCCCAGTGCCAACAGTGCCTGCTGCAAACCCAGCTCCCATGAGAAGAGCCCCACGCAGCCCCAGCTGCAGCATGCCCCACCTCACCCCACCCTGTGCAGATCCGCTCTCCCGTGCCCTCCCAGGGTGCAAGCAGCAGCGGGAACTGCCTCCCCTCCCATAAGCCATGGCTCTCACCCCTCCCCACCCCACCTGGGCAGCACCTGCCACTGCTCCCTCCCTCCCTCACCATGGGGGGGTGTTGATCTGCCCCTGTCCCATGCTCCTTCTCTCCCCCCTCCCTTTCTACCACACTAGACTACCAGCTGGAGACAGCTGTATTGGAAATCAGGTATCTGCTGATATTCCTCCTTAAATATCAACTATCAGTATTGGCCCCAAAATCTATATTGGTGCACCCCTAATAGAAATGGAGAAAAATATTAGAACACAGTATCTGCTTGCTTTTGGCTGCCAATATGCCTACCATTTGTCCTTGGCCCCAGGAAGCAGAAGAGGTGAAGTTTTTTTTGTTAACTCTCTCATATCTGTATCTAGTTGCTGAGAACAGTAGCTTGTGTCTGAAGAAGCAATTTTTCTGGCTTAGGGCAAATAAGCTACTGCTTGCAATTTGTTTTGTATTGATGAGGAGGGTGGGGTGGGAACAATACTTTATTATTACACGCATTTCTATAAAGAACTACTGTAAAGCAATGAAGTAGCAATCTAGCTACTGCCTTTAAAAAGGTCTGGGGCCTGGACTTGTTCCTGTCCTGCCACACCAGGAAGTTCCTGCTGCCTCACTCAGACTGCCTCCTGGGATGTTACACTTCCTAGACATCCTTTGTTTCTAGAAGGACTTATTCTGTCACCATTAGCCATGACTGGAATTTTTTTTGATTTGGGGTTGTTTTTTTTAAAAAATACATTCTGCCTTCCAAAAACAAGGTGGATGTCTGATTTTTAGGGGGATGTGGTAGGCGAGAAAATACGGTAATGCTTTTAAGTAAATATTATATATGACAAATTTAATAGTTATCTTGACTTCTGTGTTAAAAAAAAAGAAAATACAAAATGAAATATTTAGGTCATCTGGCACTGTCTCTTTTCACACACTAAATTTTGCCAAGGCCCAGATAATTCTCCCTTGATACACAGATGATGGATAGACCTTGTCCACATATGTCCCTCCTGATATTTGAAAGGAGCTAAATTACTTTCATAGAGCCACCACCTTCACTCTGCTCTATGCCCTGCAAAAGGCTATCTGTTGTTCTGGGATCAAAATTAGGAACAGAACTTGAATGGAGGCACAGAGTATTTATCTGAGTTCCCCTGAAATTTGCCATGTTTGGAGAAGGTCTTTTGCAAGAAAAGTTAACTCAGGCCCTAAAAATTTGCAAAGATCATCCTATAATCTTCCAGAGTTCCTGATAGAGAGTTCACTCCACAGGACATGAAGAAAAGAGGTGAAAAATTGATGCTTTCACATGGTATCTGGTAAATAAGAAACTTAGAAATATTTCAGATATATGATAATAAATATGTAGCTCATAATGACCATTTAGCTTTATGTTTTTAAGATTGTATTAGTGTTTGTGAGTAAAAAAAAGAATCTAGAGCTACCTGTATCTAGAATGTGCATACTGGAATATTTAGGATATACATTATTTAGGATGTAACATGATAGAGAAATGCACTGTAGAAATTTGATGAATCAGTTTGCCACAGAATTTCAGAACCATGTGTATGTTTTGAGAAATAGGGAGAGCTGTCATTAATTTCTTTTTTGTTTCTTTTTTTTTTTTTACAAAAGCAAGGTGGAGAAAGCAGTGGATGGTGACTAGGTGACAGACTACAATGACTGTCAAAAGTAGTTGCAGTTTGATTTAATTGTCTGCTTTTACAAAATCAGCCTCATGATTTTGAAAGCTGGTTCCAGCTTTCATTATAGGGGGCTTATAAGGGGCTTCTAAAGTGACAGTAAATGGCCAAGTTTGATGATTTTATTTTTTTAACAGAAAAATGGAATAGCAACAGTAGTTATTTCTTCTACACATCGAGGGATTTGTGTCTATCCTGTGGGATCAGACCTCTACATTGAGTTAAATGCTTGATCAGTAGTCCCATAATAAGTGTAACTACAGCAAAGGTTAATCTGTGACAATTATACTAAAATATATACAGATTCTAGGTATATTTCTGTATGTAAAGGTTTCCTTAAGAAAACAGTCATAATATTCATTGGAATACACACAAGATTTTAAAGCATTTTTGTGCTTAGAAAACCATGAATTTAAGCACAGATGCCTCTGAAATTGTTAAAACAACTGAATATTTCAGAACTCTTTCTATATTTTCCCTCTTTTTATATCACAAAAGCAGCTCATACAACAGCTGAACATGCTTATATAAAAAGGTACCTGGTTTGCTTTATAGCAACATTGTAGAAGCTCACAAATTCCCACACACTGCACCATAGGGAACTGATATATATTAGCTGAATAACACCGTAGACGCTCTACTGTATTTTCCAACAGAACATTTTACACTGAAGTCTTGATTTTAATCATCCAGTTCCGTGGGAGTAAATGCCCTGCTGCACATTTGCAGAGCATGTGAAAGCAATGTTCACAGAGAGCTGCACAAAAATAAAAATCTTTTTTCCCGGTTGTATATATAAACACTCTTCTAATCACAGAAGCAAAAGTATACCCTTATTCAGAAAAAAAAGCTAGACTGACATAGCTGTTATTTGATAGCAAAGGGAACTCGTGAGGGGGTAATGCCCCTTCCCTTACTTTTTGGTGTCTAATTGGGACTCCAGCCAGAGACAGGAGAGGAAGAGGTGTTTGCCCATCACTTCCGCTGACCAGCTGTATCCAAATCTTTGCCAGCAAAGTCTTTGATAGGAATTTCTTGAGGTGGGGGG